ACTGTCTTGGATGACAGGGTGAGCAAAGCAGGTATGCTGCAAACAACCCTGAAGGACTGTCACTGCTTTTGGGATTGTCTGGGCAATGGAAGTAGCTTGCTGAGCAGAGACTTGTTTGACTGCAAGTAGTCTGCTCTCTAACTATGGTTTTTCCTTCTGTATACACTTAGCTATATGACTCTTCTACCATAACCTCTAATGACCCCAAACTCGAGGTCTTTTCATGCCAGCGTTTTCCTACGCTCTATTTCTCCTGAGCTTTCCCCGTGCCATCTCTTTTCCCACATCCTCAGCTGGAGTTCCAAGCCCCAGCATAGGACACTGCTGAGCAGATGCTGGAGCTGCTATTTGCACAGCTTTACTGTCGTGCAGGCAGAGGCTCTCATCAGAGCAGCTCTGGACGCAAAGGCAAGACCTAGTATAAATCAAAGTGTTTCTTGAATAAAAAAAATCCCCTTCCCTGTGTTTAAGTAACCGGTAAAATTAACATAGATACAGACTAAAGAAGGGAGGACAAGGTGGGAATTGCAGGAAATTGCGATGTGTTCATTAGCATATGAAGAGGGCTTTATTTATACCAAGTGGCAGCATGATCTAGTGGGCATTAAAAGAGGTATTCACTTACCCACTCAACTACCATAGAAACTTTTCCTCACGGCTGCACGTGCCTTTGATGTTCCTTTTAAAGAGTGATTTTTTTCCTTTCTTACCACAGATGAACTCAGACATGCTTGAAAAAAGTCTTAGGTCTGAAAATTCAAGAGACTTGGATTGAGTTCCTGACTTACTACCAGCTGTGTGTGTGAAACAGATTCCTCTCACACGCTCTGAAACAAGGGCTATAATGAAATAAAGATGTTACCTCACCAGTCCCTTGTGAGGTTTGAATCACTTTGATCAGAGATCCATGGATAATGAGTGGAGTGTCACTACTGGTGCTGGTAAAATAATCCTCAGCTGGAAGATAACACAGCTACACTGCAGTCTGGGATGCAGAAAGTCCATCTTCTTGTAGGCACGAATTATGTGTATCTAACAGTTCACAGTAGTGATACGTACTGTCCTATGTACCTTTAGTTGTACAGTTCAGTGTATTGTGAATCTTGAAAAATTAGACAAGATTATTGATTTATAGAGTTTCTGATTTGTCACTTACATTTTAGGAACATCTTCATAAAAAGAAAAACTTTTATTGAACAATATCTACAATTTTAATTGGTATCTCCTATGGAGTGCAAAAAATACTGAATCTGACCAGAAATTGTGTATGAAAATGTCAGGAGATCTCTTACATCAAGCTTCACAACCTTTCACTTGAAAGGCTGAATGTATTTCATTCAAGCAGGATTAAATGGAAACAGTGAAAGAATGACTGAGTGAGTTTGTACTGGAATTGCTGTGGAACTGGTAGACATCTTCCTTTTGCATGTCTATCCATGCTAGGGAATAAATTTGACTTGAAGGAGTGGTTTCCTGAGCATTTATAATTTAGTGAGCTGGCCACTGCTAATTGTCTGCAAGGCCCAAGGCTTGGGAGGTATGTGCTCCTCTTGGAGAGAGACACACGAAACGGCACAGTGCTGAGTGAAAGAGACTGTAGTCATAAGTAATGTTTAAAATGATCACTTAACCATACAGCCAAAATACAGCACAGATCTTCAAGGGATTTGTGATTAGTAGTTAGACTTAATTCCTGCGTCATATATTGGTATGTTGAGATGTTATAAACATTATGCAATGCTAAGAACTATTCTGTGTGAAGACTTCGTTGTAGCTACTTATCCTCCTGATCAAGCTTTCAGTACAAAAAAGCATTATTTTCAATGTCTTTCCCATATCAGGCTAGATATTGATAACTGCCCACTTCTGCTTCCTACTGTTCCTTCCACCTGTCATGCTGTTGGATTCAGCCACATTCCACCTGGCTGAAAAAGACGTGACATAATGTTGCATGCTGCAGGGATCCCTTAGCTTACAAGGGGAATTACCACTGTTTAATATGAGATGAATTTCATCTTTCCAACCAGACTCTGTGTGAAGGAGCAGAATGCTGAATTGTGTGTCTTAACTCACAGCACCACTGTTGTGCTGCCGTGGCTCAGCAAATTTGTTGTTGGTGATCAGTAGATCAGTTTTGCAGCCTTCTGTGTCTGACTGTCTCATGGGCCTGGCCACCTCCAGTCTCTGCATCTGGAGTGTCCCAGATGCACTGGGCAGCAAAAGGAGCACAGCTTGCCTGACCGCAGAGCTGCTGTAACATGTCTGAATCTATGGGTCAAGGGCTACAAGCATGGAGCAGCTCCTTTCAGAAGTTCTGCACCTGTTCTTTATGCTTAAAAGGTTTCCTTCTCCCGAAGCGTGCTGTGGACTCCAAACCCAGGTTTCTCTAACCCTGGGAATTTTCACCCTGCATGATTCCTGCAGATGTAGTTTGGGGAGTTTTGTTTGTTTTTTTATCTTTTTGCTGATTCCAGGCCTCTTTCCTGTTCCCTCCTTCCACGTGTACCTTCTCCATGCCTGATTTATGCCTGGCTGCTGCAGGATGGAACATCCTCAGCTGGCTGCAGAGCATAGAAAAGGAGCTAGGCCTAGTAGGATGTCTTCAAGGATTTTTTGTCAGTGGCTTTTCCTGTGTTGTAATACTGGTTTCTACATCTTACCCATAACAAACAAACAAAAAAGCCACCACCTCTTTCCTTTCCTTCCCTCATTATAATTCTTTTCCTTCCCTGATTTCAGGCTCTCTCTCCTCATGGCCTCTCTGAGCCTACTGTGCCAAAGAGATGAGCCAATTTGCCTTAATCTGGGTGTCAGGCTTGGAGGAAAGGCTTAGGAAAAATGAAATTCTCTCAGGTCTGTGAGTTCAGCAGGCATTTAAAATAATGACTCCAGTCTTTATTTCCATTGCCCTGTCAGTTTGCCCCAGGACAGTAACTGTGGACACTAGCCCAGCAAAGTTTGGATTGGAAACAGCACAACTTCTGCAGTCAAAGAATCAGAGAAAATGCTGAGTTGATAGGAACCCATAAAGATCATTGAACCTAACTCCTGGTTCTACACAGGACCACCCAGAAATCAGACCATATGTACTAGAGCAGGTCCTGGTGTAGCTTCTCCATCTCATCTTGCTGCTATCTTTGGGCAGCAGCTTGAGTGATAGGAACCAACTTCAGTCAGAAGCAGTTTTTATACACAAGAAGTCTAAGCAGAAAACTTCATTAACAACTGCTGACACAGCCTGACCCTTCTCTTGTTTGAGTTTAGCTATTAACTCCCACCTTCTTCAGTGGAGCACTGTGAGATTTCTATCTGTACAAGTGCTCAGGAAATACTGAGGTAAGGACTGCTGCATGTCTGACAGCTGTAAAACTAGGTTGCAAGGCAGATGGAGCTTTATGACAATTTACTCTTCTCATAGAAAACTCTCTCCTTTTCATTAATTTCCTGAGCTTATTCTCCTGGACTCTGCTGCCTGTTATTGCAAATGTGGCAAGAGCAGAAGCCAAAGCATGTTCAGAGAAGTATTAGCATGTGTTTGTGCACACATGCTTATCAAGTGAACACGTATCTACATGTTTGCTTACATCTGCTAACAGAGTAATTCATGACATGAATGTGCATATACCGTCTGAGATCCTGTTTAGAATTTTTAGTAAATGCAGAACCACATACTGAGGTGTTATCTCAGTCCTTACTCAGGAAACAAACAAACAAACAAACAAACAAAAAAAAACAACTCACAACAGTAATATATAGTTCCAATTTACATGCAAAACCACAATATGTTGCACAGGATTTTTTCTTTCAGTTCAGAAGTTACTCTTTCAGTGACATGAAAAAGTACAAAAATGTACAGCTGAAGTACGTATTGACATTAGAAACTTTCAGTTGTGCATCTTCAAGTCCACTGTGAGAGAGAACCTCCTTGTTTTTCTCAAAAGAAAAACAGAATTTTGTTTCCAGCCCAGGATTCATTAAACATCTATTTTTTTTCTTTTTTTCTTTTTTTTCTCCACGATTGCCATTTTTTATTTTAGTTATTTCCAGAATTCTAAAACTTCTTTGTGTTTCCAAAAACTCAGAGTAGTCATTCCAACCTCAAGGGATCTAAAAAGTTGTGCTTGAACAGTAGTTGCCATTAGCCTAACTCAGTTACCAGGCTTGAGGAAGGAATTTAGACTTGTCCAATAAAACCAAATAAGAGCAGGGCGAGTATTTTGGGTTATCAAAATGAGCTTCAGAACATATTTAAGGATAAAATAAAAAGCTCAACTTTTTATTTTGATAATAGTATAATTTTGATAATACTTGATTTAATGAATAGACAGAATTTGATTTGAAATTATTTTTAAAGGGCTAGAATGCTTTCTTTTTTTTCTTTCTTAATAGCATACACAAAAGCAATATCCCCCAAAGCAGACTTGCATTCAGATGTGAGATGAGAAACTTGTATTTATAAAAGCCATCTCTTTTTGCTTTAAGCAGTGAGATGTGCTGAGAAACTGGTACAGTATGACAACATTTTAAACACGGAGGAGATGAGATTTGTCTGTCTGGTATACAATATAAAACAAAAATCGAACACCAATTTTACCACATTATACTGAAACAAACCACAGTAATTAGATGCTTTGAAGTCAAGCCTATATTTTCTTCAGCTTTTTCATGAATTATTGATCCACTTTCCTCACTGAATGGATTGGTAAGCTCTTGCAGTAAATGGACAAGTGACTACAACATTTATATAATCGTATATCCTCTGCATCTGGCAATAAAACGTGTTTGTGTATAAAACACCCCTTCTGAATTGACATGTCTGCAAAACAGATTTACTACTGTAACCACATTCCTTTTCTTTTGTCTCTAAAACACAGCTTTTCTTACATCGTCATGCAATCCAGTATTTTACTCTGGTCATATTAAGCAACATATTTTCAAAGAGCCTGTATTGTCCTTTGTGCAGCAGAAATAATGAGATGTAAATAAACTGTCTCACTTACCTTATTTTCTCCATCTCTGCCGCAGCGGCCTACAAGAAATCAAATAATAGGAGCAAGTGAATGAAAGGAAACATTCACTCTGCAGATTTATGCATAGTTAAGCTTTCCAAATGGTTTTCGACAAGTGTCTACAAAGCGACGGTAGGCAAACCCCACATCTGCATTACCGAAAATAACACTGAGAGATTAACTCAGGAATAATGCAGCACGCTGCAGGAGTGCTGTGTATACCCACGAGCCATGGGCAACAGAATGACTCAGTTGTAGCACTGAGGCAGAAAATGGTGTGAGAAAGAGGAGGGAAAAAAAAAAAAAAAAAAAAAAAAAAGAAGAAAGCAGCAGCAAGTAACAGGTTACTGTGCCTCCTGGATTTCAGATGAAAAGTTGAAATGCAGTGCTACCCTCTGCGCAGTGGGCATGGCAGCAGGGCTCGGCTGGCTGGGAAATTAAAGTGACTTCATCACATGTGAATTTGGATTTGGAGTTCAATTCGCCGTGTTTCACAGAGCCTGACTGATGGAGTGGACACAGGCTGGCATCCTTCGTGGGAGTTTCAAATAGTCAAATTACTTTCCTCAAGTAATACGCTATCTTGACAATTAGCATCTCAATGCGTATGGGCTTTTTGTTAACCCTTTCACTGCTACTCATCTGCAACTCCAGTACCTACCCAGTTCCCTCTGCTTGCTATGTAAGCTGGGCTCTCATTAACCCTTCAGCAGCTTCACAGCACTTCTGTAGCCTTGACTCATTACATGCTGGTTCAGCAGTAGGTGGTAATTTCATTAATCTGCTTCATTTCTTTTTTACCATGGAGATGCTGTGAATCCTACTTATCTGCAGCACAGAGACTCGTTAATCTCTGCCAGTACTTATATGAAAAGCAGACTCCTGTTAACCCTTTGGATCTTTTTTCGTCATTATCTTCTGCAGGTCCTTAATAGCTGCTTCCATTTTATCTAATCATCCCACTGGCACAGAATCTCATCAATTCTCCTGGTCCTGTTTTATTGAATCTAAGGGATGAACACTTGGAGCAACCCTGCAAGCTTTAGAGCCAGATAAATCCCAACGTCTCAGAAACTCTTATTTATACTAAAAGCATTGCCCATTAATCATGAACACTTTAAACCCTATTGATTAATGAGTGACGATCATATTTGAGTATGAAATAAATTAAAGATTAAAAATAGGGAAATTCTAATCAGTTATGCAGCAGGAAATTTGTCAAACTGCCTAATAAAACATGCCAAATGACAAATTGTTGGTTCCTCATCATGTCACTCTTCCCCCCCCCCCCCCCCCTTTTCATTTATTTTTGATTTGTCTATTAGATAAGTTGTCAGTCAGAACAATGTTTGCATGATAATTTCTGATGATATGTATTAAAGATGGTAGGCATTCACCAGAACTTGGTATGTAAGAAGCCAGCTGTGGAAAAACCCTTCCTCATTTTCCCCAGGAGAAGATGTGATCTACATTATGCGCTCTCTGCTTACCTACTGGGAGCATGGGGGTTGCCTGTTGTAAATTCTGGATTTTAAGATTAAAGATCTCACATAGGGACCTCTCATTACTTTCTCTTATTTCTATCTCTCCGTTGAATCCATGAACATTCTAGAGTGTATAGGAAATGATTTAAGCATTATTGATTGGAAAATGAACCTTGTGGGCTTTTTCTAGGTATAGGAAGGCACTGGCAGCCCCATGGGGCTTACCACTTTGGTTTTCCTCAAGTATACTTAAAAAAAATTTGCCATAATCATCGTGTTCCTGTCATTCTGAAGCTAGGTATAACTTTCACTGGAGCTGTTGCATTGTCTTGAACTGCAGGAGCCACCTGAGAAGACTGGGTACTTATTAGTGCTTTTGTTATGGCAACAATATAAGGGGAAGCTATCTTAACCTTGTTTTTGCTTAATGCTTTAAACGTTGCTGTACTCATGGTGTCAGGGTGAAGGTTGTTGCAAACAATTTAAATGCAGGATGGAGAAGAGAATCTGTAGGATGGCTTTTTGGCTGTACTGTTGACCTCATCTATGAATGCAGGTGAGTCATTGCCTGCCAATCTGTACTGGAAATTCATAGGAAAAAAAAAGCACAGAAAAAGCTTACACCAAAACAAACCAGAAAACTACACCAAGTTGCAATTTCATCAGTCTGATTATTATTATTATTGATATTATTATTGCAACTCTTTTATTTCCTTTCCTCACAGTAAAATTTGTTTTCTTTGTGCATGAGGGGGCCAATTATCCATTGGACCTCTGGGGCTGTTATCCTCTGCCTTTCTTTGACTGTGAGGTCAAAGTGTAGAGTGCTCCTTGTCTCTTTGACTGATGATAGGAGCAGTGGTTTCAGCTTAGCCCTCCTCAAGGAGGATGCCCTGACCTAGGTCAGAGCCTTTCTAGGCCACAGCACTACAATGCTGTGTCTCTTCTTTTAATGGGGACCTACTCTCAGTAAATAAATAATAGCAGATGAGAGGACTAAATCTCATATGTTCATCACATGGATGGCCTAGCTTACATGCTAGAGAGCCAAACAAACATGTAGGAGTGTTTGCTGGTGAAAATAAAGATAAGATTGTCCATATAGTTTTCATATGAAGCAGTTTGTCTCAGGTAACTATGTTCCTTTGGAAGATCTTTTTTACCCTTTTCTCCTTTCTGACTTCCTTTTCTTCTTATTTCTTTTTTTCTTTTTTGTTTCTTCTCTTTTTTCTTTTCCCCTCTTTCTATCTCTTTCCGAAAACCTTAGAAATTCAAAATGATTTTAAAAGTTTGGTTTTCTGAAACAGATCTTTTCTCAGAAGGTGGCAATTTTGCTGAGGCAAAATTGTTTCCTAGCCAGTTCCCTGCCATTGCTATAGCCTGTGGAAATCTTAGAGTCTATATCATCCTTAGACAGCTCCCTATGAAGGCTCCCACCTGAAATGTCCTAACAAATTGAGTTTAAAACATATTCTAAATGGCTCTCAATTACTCAATTGAAGGGAATCTTATGGGATTTATCTCAAGTTCAAAGACTGAGGTTAATGTTGGTATGAGGATGTCCTTCATGATGTATCATTTATGAGTTGCTGCTTACTATGGGGTTGGTCTATTGTAAGTGCTTCATGATGCCTGAACTGAGCGCTATGATTGCAACCTTGTGTGATTTTTTTTTAATAACATTTTTAATTAAGATCAGTAATTACCTTTAATTATAAAAATATCAGATGTAATTTAATTACCTTTTTTTTAAAAAAATAATATCAAGGCAGCATGTCTAAAGCATTTTAAATGTCTAAAAAAAGCAAGTTTTCTCTTAAAGGGAATCATCAGCTTTGATAATTTAATGTCCTATATTTCCATATACAGACTTCTACATAAAATGTGGAGACTGGCTTGAAAATTTTCCTTTCTGTGGAAGTGTTTGGTACAGTTACTTTGCTTATGAGCACTACCAGGCAAAGTCTAATAGTACTAGCAGACAAATCTCTGTTTCCAAGTATCTGAAGAATGCAAATATGACACAGAACAACTGACAAGACCTTTGTTCTGATAGCTGAAAGCACCTGAATATATATTTTGGGACAAGTATTCTAAGGCTAAGGTTTTTTGTTGCTGTTTTTGTTTTTGTTTCCTTTTTTGTTTTATTTTCTTACACTTATTCTGAATGACTTTTTGATATTCTTCATTATTCTTCAAGAATAAAATCTCTCACCCAACTGAAAGCGAGAATGCTGTTAATGAAAACTCCAGGATATATTACTGTGGATTGTTGGTTTTTTTTTTCCTCATTTAGTATATTGTTACTGCCTTTTAGTCAGCATGACAAACTCAATTGTTTTCAAGTCAGTAGAGCAAACAAAAACCACTGTGATTTTCTTTCTTTCTTTTTTTTTTTTTTTTTTAAATCTCCCTGTGTTTAATTACAGAGTTAAGCAATCACAAGACAATGGGAGAATATTTTTAATCATTTTTGTACTTAAACTATGTCTGTTGTCTGAATTCTTTGATTTTTCTTTCTTCTTACACGACTGGAGTTTATAATGTAGATTTTTTTTTTTTTTCTGAACAAAAATATCTTTTAATAAGGTAGAAAGTTATGCTGACAGTCTATCTATCATTCTATGAAATTCACATGGTGACAGCATTGGTAAAATATTGGTTCTCTTCCTTTTTTCTATTAGCATTTTCTGAAGGATAAGAAATCATGAGATTTCAAGCCTCTCAGCTATGTAATGAAATTTCCTTTCTGTAACATCTTGAGGTCAATTTTTACAGATACAGATGTATATATGAAAGAGGAAGTGCAACTTCTTCTCATTTTTGTTTATTTGTTGGAAAGAGGTACTTCATTTTAGGACAATCAGCCTCAAATTTTAGCTTAGTACTCACCAGTCATCCCTCTGAGTTTAGTGGACTTTGAGTTAGAATGCTGTCTAGCTGTGAGCAAATGTATAAGACAAGAAATGGCAACAGGAAGTTACTGCCTCTCATTTAGTCTGACTCTTCTTATTCTGACTTAATCAGTATTGTGGGAGGTAATTTTACTTCTGTGTTGTGGAGAGCTGTAAATGAGAGTTAATCCATAGATAAGGGCTTCTGAGTTCCTAGAACACTCGTAAGCTGCCACATTTTCAATTACAATAGTTTCACTTGTGCGTTTCTTTTGTACTTGCAGTATTGCTAAAGTTTGAGAGGAACCAGTGTAACCATATTCCTTGTCTTTTCTGTAATGTAAAAGATTTGGTTTATGGACTACATAATTTGATAGAGTCAGTCTTTAACTTAGGCTCTTAATCCCTTTTTAAAGTATAAGCTTCAATATACTACTAAAATGATGTTTGAAAAAAAGCAAAAATTTAAACTACAGGAAATTTCATGGAGGTGGAGGAAGCATCTTGCTGCATTTGATTTGGCTTCATGTGTTCAAAGGATCTGTTGTTTGGTAGGTTTTTTTTTTCTTTGACAAAGAAGAATAACATTTTTGTAAAACTCTTGCATGTAATTGTCATGGAAATGCA